GAATTGGACGACAAGACTTTTTAACACACATTAACACATTAACTGACTATTTTGTAGCCACCCGATCAAGATAGCGGGTCGACTTTCTCTCTAAAAGTAGGCATACCTAAAGAAAGCGTTGTAGTATCCCTGAAAGCCGTTTTAATTTACCCATATCTTACTAATTTGCTATACTTTTAGAGAGAAGGCTTCCATTTTGGCGAATAAATACTTGTCAAGGATGAGGGAACGCTTCATGGAAGTAGTAAGATTGACACAAACACTGTTAGTTAGATATATGTAGGACTACTTTGCCATATGGCAGCATAGTAAGATAGTTTGAATAATTTGTTGTTGAGATGTATTCACAATATATTTCGTTTAAGGTGATGAAGGCCTGGTAGTAGAATTTACCCAAAATGAGGCAATGTGAAATTCAATGGAAACGTCAATTAACTCATATCATTGTGGGTAAATTCGACTACCAGACCTTTATCACCTTTATCACATCTCATATTACTGATTAATTGGTAGTCTCGAAACTCTAATTAAACACGAAAAATAATTTGTTGTTCTTAATTAACCAGATTGGCTGCAATGTTATAGTTGACAATAAAGATAGAGAAGGACAATAATTTACCTTTTTAGCTGCTTTAGCGATCAGATCAGGTTAGAAGTTAGGCAGATAAGTATCTAGAAAGCCAACGCATGTTGGCTTTATACTTAATTTCTACTCGAATCATACTTATAAAGCAAAGGTTGGCGTCTTAAAATCTATGATTATTCGGAGCATAAAATGAACCGATAAAAAGCCTTGTAACAATAAACTGAATCGGCTTAAAATAATATTTCTTGAGAATAACTATCCTTTAGGCTTGATTTAAAATACCATTAGATTAATAAATAATAGCTTTTTGAATAGTAAATACGTAAGAAGAGATAAGGAGACCTTTCCTTATGTTTTGCCTTTACCTTCGTGCAAATGAAACAAACGTGAACAAGTATGGAAGTGGGGAATAAAAACGGTCTTCAGGAAAACTACAACATTTTCTTCAGTTATGCTCACTTTTAGAGAGAAAGTTGACCCATCATCCAGATCGGGTTGCTACAAAATACTATGTTCATATGGTCGCTTTTATGTTGGAGAGACTCGTCGTCCCATTCGACAAAGGATGGCTGAGCACAAAAGCGCCTGCAAAGGTTGTTGAGTTCATAAATCGGAGCTTGTTGAGCACAGGGACACGGGACACGAGATTCAATGGTCCCAAAATTCTCGTTTTGCTGATTATGGCATGTCTGCGGCTAAAAGTAAAATTAGAGAAGCCATCGAAATAAACTCAACTAGTCTTTTCTCGTCTTGATACTGATCACGGTCACTTCTATGTACTATTAGCCCACTTTTTCTCTCTCACATGCAGGCGAAACGCTCATTAACATAACTGTACATGTGTCCAACTTGCACAATCAGAGTGATCGTTAAAATATGGAGAGAGAGGAGGTGATGGTGATCATCAAACCTTGATGGCAGAGAACAGACGTTACTTTTGCTGTCCCAATTACTTTAAGCCATCACTGTTGGTTTAGTACATAGGCTAACACATACAGGCACATATGCGAATGCAAATACAGTCACATTCACATGCTATGAGGTTGACATATGACTGGAAATAACCAAATCACTTAATTTCTCATTAAATAGTCAACATATAGAGTATATATACTACACTTTATAGATGAGCCGAGAAATTTTCTTGATTCATTTGCTTGAATATGCTTGTAGGAATGAAAGCCTGCATTGATGATGTCCATCACACGATGGAAGAAAGCTTAGCACATGTTAACTGGAATTAAAGAAAACCTCGGAAACAACGTCAATCGATAACTGATCGAAAGGGATCCACCATCGTACTCTGATTAAATCGACCTTTTAATCTTGTATCCAAACATTTTGCTCTAAATGGAATTTAGCTCATCAATTATTTAACAATTGATTCCTTGAAACCTAACCTTTCCTCGCATATGCTAAAATAAGCCTCAAAAACTAATCACACGTCAGATTAAATGCCATACTCTCATTTATAAGGATGCTGATGACCTGTAATTGTTCAGTTCATTAATACATTTGTAATCATTAGTCGATTTCGATAAATGTTTTATGACGAATTATTAGGTCTCCTATATAATTTCAATGATCTGATTCTGGAAATTATCTTGGCTTCAAATGCTTAGCACTTCGCGCTGATGTGTTCATCGAGGTATCATTCATTACACCGCCATGTTCCTAAAACGAAATCAAACCACTTATATAGTAGTCATTACTTCAGGATTAAGATCTTTAAATGTCCAGTTAAGGCTGCTATTGTTATTATGTCCTCACCTGCCCGATCATAATCTTTCCAATTGTGATGTTTCCTCTGGCATAGTTGCTGGAACAGTCCTCCACACCAGAAATCATATCCGATGGGTGGAAAAGTTTGCGCAAAACTCCGACGCGAATCTCATCTGTGACGATGGGAAAGCAAACGGGAAATAAATAGTGCTTGTAACTGCCTTGAAAAGCAGCTCTATGAGAGAAAAATGGTAGGTTACTTGGTGACTCAGGATCGGCTATTTGGGTTACCCAGGGAGAAGAGGAAGATAAGCTCAAAGCCTAAATTTGAACTTTATTGCATTCCCAAAGCATCTAACATTATAATTGCTGCTAATTCTATAGTGACCTATGCCGAACGGCAAAAATTGGCATCTTAAACTAAACTCATCACAAATATATTATGATATATTTCAGCTTAAGGTGTAAAGATAGGCTAAAATATGCGTAAAGTGGAAACATAATTATGAAAATATACCTTACTG